GCTCTGGTAGCGTAGTGGTTACGAATCAGGCTGCAAACCTCAGGGTCAGCAGTTTGAAACTACCAGCTGTTCCGCAGGAGAAAGATGAGCCTTTCTGCTCCCATAAAGACTTACTGCCTTGGAAACCCTGTGCAGGGTCGCTATGGGTCGGAATCGACTTGATGGCACTTAACATGATATGGAAGAAGTTCCGCTAGCATAGCGGTTATGAGTTGGCCTGCAAACCTCAAGGTCAGTAGTTCAAAACTACCAGCCACTCCACGGGAGAAAGATGACACTTTCTGCTCCCGCTAAAATTTACAGCCTCAGAAACCCTGTGCAGGCTTGCTATGAGTCGGAACTGACTCCAAGGTGATGGCTGGAGTCCTGGTGTCCTGGTGTGGCACCTCAAATCGGAGGTTCAAATTCACCAGTCAGTCCTAAGAAACCCTATACCAGGTGGTCATGGGTCGAAACTTACTGGACGGCAGTTAACAACATACTCCGCAGGAGGAGTTCCGGTGTGGCGCTGTGGGTTAATGCGCTGGACTGCAAGGTCGGTTTGTAAGTTCACCAGCCACTCCTCAGAAACCTGATGGCGCTTAACAGCAACATACACCCTTGCCTTAACGGTTGCCTAGTTATGACGTCATCCCCTCAGAGCCTGTCCACCTTCTGTCCGCCCGGCATGTGTGTGATGGCTCGTGGCTGCTGCCCTCAGCCACATGGGAGGAGATGCTTTGTTTTCCGTGCCCTACGGAAGTCACCACATGGAAACTCACCTGGGTGATCTGTTTCTTTGCCTTGTGTTTGCGCTTGTTTAAGACTTAACAAAGAGCCATGGAATATTTGTATCTTTTCAAAACCTATTGCTGTTGGTCACTCTCGACTCAATCATGATCCAATAGAGACCCTTGGAGCGTAGAGCAGGACTGGCCAGCAGGTTTCCAAGGCTGTAAACATTTACAGAAGCAGACTGAAGGGTCGCACTGCCCATTCTGATTAGCGGGCAGGAGCTTAATCACTCACAGCACCACCAGCTCTCTTTGAACAGCAGGTAAACCACACTGCCTTCCAGTCTCAGCATAGACAGAGTAGAACCAGCCCATATGGCTTTCAAGGCTATGAGCTCTATGGGAACAGATTCCTATGCATTTCTTCTGTGGAGTGGCTGGTGGGTTAGAACCACTGACCTTTGCACAACCGGGGGGGGGGGCACCTTTCAATAGGAGGTACCTGTCCTCAAGTATCAGTGCCTATTGAGAACTATGGTGGCTGGAATATTCTGGAAAGAGGAACAGGAGACTAAAGGTCATTTGCTCCTATGACTGTCTCAGCTACTGTACAGAGAGAAAGGAAGGAGGGCATAGAAGGTTCTAGGTGGTTTACTTCCACTGTTTCCTCCATTTCAAGGACTGAGGAAATCCAGAGGAATCACCTCTCCGGCCCTAAGCCTTGCACACAGCTAAGCAGAGCAGTGTGGTTTTGTCGTTTTTGTCTTCCTCTGCTTCTTTGAAAACAAATTAGAGGCATGGAATGGTTCAACGCATTATCAGTTTCACAACACGGAGGGCAGTAGGGAACCAAGTGACCCATCGAGCCACATCGTGATCTTGGAACACCAGGATGTGAAAGAGGGTCCACCTCCACCACCCTTGGTAGGCTGGGACCCTTTAGAACAAGCCCACCTGGAACTGTCTTCAGCCTCCTCTCCCCACCCTCGCTGGCCTGGATGTGGGATGCTGAGGTGCCCTGCTCTCTGGGACTAGAACAGAGGGTTGTGGGAAAGCCAACACAACCACCACACTCCTTCCCCTGGTTGCTGCCAATTTCCTCCCAGGGGATTCCCTCACCTCAACATTGAAGCTAGACAGCGAATAAGGAAGACAATAGAAGAATCGATACTTTTGAGTTACGGTGTTGGAGAATATTGAAAGTGCCATGGGTTGCCAAAAGAGCCAACAGATCTTTGTTGGAAGAGGTGCAGCCAGAGTGCTCCTTAGAGGCCAAGATGACCAAACTTCATCTCTCATACTTCGGACATATTGTCAGGAGGGAGCAGCGGCTGGAGAAGGATATCATGTTTGGTAAACCCCTCGCCCCAACGAGATGGATTGGCCAAGTGGCAGCATCGATGGGCTCATCAAAGGCAACGATAGTGAGGTTGGCCCAGGATCAGGCAGCGTTTCGTTCTGCTGTGCGTAAGGTCACTATGAGTCGGTACCAACGTGGCACCTGACAACATTAAAGAGAACAAGTGCGGGCATTTTGAAAGCAGAATGATTTTGCTTACCTCACGTGTGGCACTGTAGGATGGGTGCTGAACGGCTAGGCACAAGGTTGGTGGTTCAAACCCACCAGCCACTTCTCGAAAAACCGAACCAGGTTGGGTGGCTGAGTCAGAAGTGACTTGATGGCACTTAACAAGAAGAGTAAATACTGCCAAGCGCTGCCTAGAAGCACCTTTCACACACCCCAACATAGCCTTGTTCCTTAAAGGTGTGCTTGTCTATTTTACGTTGCATTGTTAATGGTTGCCTGACTGCCTGGAAGCTGAGGAGTGACTATCAAGACAAACAGGCCCTGGGAAAGGGAATCCTGTCCTCGTCCTTTGAGGTGTTCCCTGGGACATATGGCAACCTTGTGATTTCAGTGATGTTAGAGGAGGAAGGAGTGTGACCAGGGTCCGGCCTGGGCTGCGGTCCCCAATGAGCTGCTGCAGTGGAATCCGGCGTGGGAGCTGGAAGCAGAGTTCATGGAGGTGGAAGGTACGAGACAGCCAACACTGTTCGGCCGCAGCACGAGCTTTGTGTCCCCCAAGTTTGACAGGAAGGGTCTGCCAGAGTGACATCAGACTGTGAACACATTTGTAATGCAAGAGCTCCCGCACACCCATGCCTTTGAGCAGTGGACCCGTCATCAACAAAAATGAGGACATTCAACCATGAATCAGAACTAGTGTTTCTAACCAAGTGTCAGATACCAAACCGACCTCTGCGCTGGGGGTGTTCCCGTAGTCAACTTCCTAATTGTCCTTAACCGAGTTGGGTTCCAACTCATCACCACCTTGTATCGGTTTCGGAGGCTTTAAATCTTTAGAGGAGCACAAAGCCTCATCTTTCTCCCGCGGAGAACCATGGACACTGTGGTTCGCAGTCCAGTGCTGATCGTATGGTGTCACCGTTTCCCCACCTTCCTTAACAATGGAAGCTTTTTTCTCTTCCTGTATCTAAAGTGTTTGTTAACTGAACTCAGAGTCATTCCAGGGCATCAGGTCCAACATAATACAACATGACTCCAACCAACCAAATCTGGTGCCTTTAAGTCACTGCCAACTCATGGAGACCCCATGTGTTAGAGAACCGTGTCACAGGGTTTTCTTGGTTGTCATCTTAAGGAAGCAGATCTTCAGGGCTTTCTCCCATGGTGTCAGTGGGTGGCTGCAAACCTACCAACTTCTGGGTTACAGCTGACAGCCCACGGACCTTCTCCAGCATGGTCAGAGCTTAAGGGGCTGAGCTGGTGAAATGCTCATCTGGAGTTCTGAACCCCACACCCACTAAAATACCCACCACCACCCCAACTAGTCCTAGCATCCTTGGACCCCCGAGCAGCGCAGCACACCTGCCAACTGTCTGTCCCAGCTCGCCATGACCCTCCAGCGCATTCATGTCTACGGGAGGCGGCTGTGCTCACTTTCTGAGCCTGCAGCCCCAGCGTGTCCACCATAAGGCTGCATGGTGTCCTATGGGCTTTACAACGGCTTCCCCACAACCCCTGGGAGCTCATTACCAGGCCGTTACTTCAAGATGCCACTGGGTGGGTTTGCAGTTCAGGACCCACTGCATGGCTTCTAGGTTCCATGATTGACCCCCAGACCTCAGCAGTCACATATCTCAGGGTTACGCAGGGCAGCCCTGCTTTATCTGGGGGGCAGGGCTACATGAGGGGGAAACACCCACGGTCTTCCTGATATCCAGCTGGCAGAGGTGCTAGGCCCCCCCATTCTAGCATGTGCCCTTGTGTTACGATGCTCCTTGGGTCTGGGAACATCTCTTAAGCTGAGAGGAGGATGCAGCCTGGTTGACTTTGGGGTCCTGGCTGTAGCATGTGCCCCCAAACTGAAGGTGTGTGCCCTAATCATTAGCCCAGCATTCAAGAGTGGGCTTGGATCCATCGTGCACTGACAGAATGGTGGGCCTGCCCTCTGGCTGGTCCCAGGATCCAGCCTCCAGATGAGCAGACGAGGGTGACAAGGGGCACCAGGCCAGCACACCAGCAGACGCCACCTAGGGTTCAGAGCCCAGCATCTGCTCAGTGTGTCAGGATGGACTAGTGATGCCTGGCCTGGTTGAGTGTTGCCTGTTTTGAATCTGGGCTATCTAGAATAGTTTAGTGGTGCCTGCCAGGGATCCTTGTTGCCTAGGGTAGATTACTGCTGCCTGTTGGAGATCACTGGATCAAAGGTGCCTGTGTGGATTAGTGATGCCTGTCCCGGCACAGGTGACAGCAAGGGATTATGTGTGTAGGTAAATTGCACAGAAAACGTGTGTGGGGTGCTGTGATGCGGAAAGGAGCTTCGGGGGACAGACAGCCACAAAGGGAGGTGTGAGGGAGCCACACCCAAGAGAATTGCCATTTATTCCCGAAGTCGTCAAAATCATCACCAAGGATTCACCACGGGGTGCATAGGGGATGAGGAGGCTCCAACACTGATTTGAGGGGAGGTCTGGAGGGAAGGGAATGGGTGGGGGGACTCCCCCAGCTGTCCCTCCCCTTTCTAATGCCACAGGAAAGGGTTCCTCCTCTTGCCAGTGCTCCTCCCACCCCCAGGTCCAGTTTCTCTGTGGGGAGGTAGAGTGGAGGAACGGGAAGAGGACGTAGTGTGAGTGGGCCCCAGGAGGGGGAGAGGGCAGGTTGGGGACAGGGGCCCCCGATTCACATGCACTCACAACACTGATCTCCCAGGGAGCAAAAATGGGGGGAAGCTGGGCCGGGCCAAGTCCCCTCCCCCCCCTGGATTATAGGAGAAAGGGATTAGTGTTGGGGGCCGGGGGGCCCGGGGGCATCATGGGGGGTAGGCCAGGCCCCCCGCCGAGGGGAGAGATGTATGTTGGGGGCGCGCCAGGGACCTGGGGTGCGGGGCTGAGACGCAGCTGGTTCAGAGTGAGCGTTGCAGGGGGCGCAGGCTGGAATGGGTTAGTGACCGAGGGGCCAGAGGCTGGGGCACCTATTAGGGAGACAGACACACAGCACACAGTCAACAGCAACCCCCAGCTCGATCCCTGCCCTGGGCACACAGACCCAAGGGGAAGGACCTGGGGCCGGACCCAGGGGGAGGGGAGGATGGGAGTGGGGGACACTGGGGACACTGGGGAGCAGGGCAGCCAGGGCCACTCACCACTTGGCAGGAAGGGGTTGGAGGCCTTGGCTCCGGGAGGTGTGGGGCCGGGCCGGCTCACCAGCGAGTCCAGGTCCACGAGAGCCGCATTGGGCCCCAGGAATGACTCGGGCGTCTTCCGTGTGGGGGGCGTGGGGGTCGGGGTGACTGTAGATTGGGGGCTCCCCACAGCCTCGGCCAAGGAGCCCCCGACCCCACTCATGTCAAAGGCCCCAGGGCTACGGGCGGGCACCTCTCCTGCAAGCAGCTCCAGCTCCCCTGGAAGGAAGCAGTAAGAGACAATAAGGGGGGACAGGCCCCAAGAGGCGAGTCTCTGGACAGAAGTGCCACAAAGGGCCAATACCTGGGCACCTGCAGAGGCTCAGAGAAGGATGCCCACCACGTTGGAGCAGAGAGCCCAGAACGAAAAACAGAGGCCCACCCCAGGACAGCTACTAGCAAGAAAACTGAAAAGGATGCACGCAGGTGAGGATGAGGAGAAACGGGTGCCCTCGCTCATCTGGCAATGGAGATAACACCAAACACCGCAACTCGGAGTCCAAGCAGAATTAGAACATGACCCCAGGTAACAAAGCAGGAACACAAGACAGACAGCTGTACACTCAAGAGAAAGGTGGAACCCACCACGCAGTCCATCAACAGAGGGACGGAGAAACACAAGGTGGTGTACCCCCACACGGGGACATTACCCAGCCTAAGAAGAAAGAGGTCCTGATCCCTGCGAACACATGGCAGAGCCGTAAAACATCATGCCGAGGGAAACAAGCCAGACACAGGGCAGAAAGTACGAGACCCCCACTGACAGGAGACACCTGGAACAGGTAAATGCATGCAGAGACAAAAAGTAGATGACCATAGGTGGAGTCCTGATCCCCATCCAGAATATTCTGAGGTGGGAAATTTCCACTTGAAAGAGCAAACAGACCAGCCTGGAGCAGCTCCAAGAACAGAAGATACTTCTTGAAAGACCAGCAGGGAAAATCAATAACAATTAACGCAGTCTGGCTGTAAGAAAAAGCAAGTTGTTCGCCAGGAGCCATCAAGGTAAGCAGTTAGGTCCCCTCAGGGCAAACCCCCTTCCAAAACTGAGGCTCTAGGGGAATACAGTTGGTCTACTGATAAGGGGGAAAACAACACTGAAGTTGTGAGTGAAGTCCAACCACGTTCAATACACTCCTGTCAACCTCGGTTGAAACCTTGTTGGCCAGCAGTATGGCGAGACCTGGAGACTCCTGGGCCCAGGGACAAGGACATGGCCACAGAGGACTAGAGCAGAGAGCGAAGCGTCCAGCTAATACGAACTGAGGGGGAGATGCACAAGAACACCCATACTTGCAGATGGTACCCACTTTACCTGACTTCAGTGGCTGGATGATCAGAACTCAACTAGAGGAAGAAAGAAGAGGGGAAAAAAAAGGAGTAATCCGCTACCATTTGATGAAGCTGACCTGTACTCATGGATGTAGTAGCTCCAAAGAGGGAACGAATCTTTACAGAGAGGATCATTTCCACCCCCTCGGTACACAAGGTTGACAGGAATGGGCACCTTAGACATTGGCTAAGGAGCTCTGGTAGCGTAGTGGTTACGAGTTGGACTGCCAACCTAAAGGTCAACAGTTCAAAACTACCAGCCATTCCACAGACAAGAGATGAGGCATTCTGCTCCCACAAAGATTTACAGCCTCGGAAACCCTGTGCAGGGTCACTATGAGTTGGAACTGACTCCACGGTACTTAACAACAACTGAAAATGGGGGGCTACAGAGGCACAAAATGACTGGCTTACAGGCTTTCAAAAGAGGGAGCCTAGTTCCAGAGGGTGCGGGGGAAGGTAGAATCGCCACTGAGTGCTTTCCTGTGTCTGGACGGGATTGTTGAAAGGAGATGGGGATAATAAGACTCTCATGGTTCAATAGTGAATAACTGCTATCAGGACTGACTGTGAGCATTGCAAATGTAAAGGTGGATGTTTTGTAACAAAAGGAGGGGAGTGGTTGATCTTGCAGCCCAGGAGTGGAGGACCCTGGGACCACTGAGGGAGAAGAGCGGAGTGTGGGATCCAACCCAGAGAAGCAGTGACGCCAGACACGGAGGGAGGCAGAGACGATGACGTGGAGAGATGGAGCTGCTGGGAACTATGGACTCAGGGAGAACGAGGGGCTCTGTGCTGATGGCCTACTGACAGGCTTGTGGGATGTACCCTTTGGTTGTCTGAATGGTTATATATTCCTGAGTGCTTCGGTGTACATCCAAAAAAAAACCACCAGAGGGAATGGAAGCAAATGCTCTTGAATGACGATGCATGGAGGGGATTGTAATCATTGCAAGGAAACGAAATACGACAGGATGAATGTGTAAAGCTGATGCTCTCCCATGTAAACTATCACTCAATTCACAATAAAATCTTGAAAAAAAAAAAGTAAATGAGTGGTTGTGTGGGGACAGAGCTGAGGTCAGGGTGAGTTACTACTGTTAATGGACAGAACTGCTCGGGGTAATCTAAGAGTTGACAAACAGAGTTGTGTCTGAGCCTAACCAAGGCGCACAAAGAACTACGGAACCAGAGAAGCCGATTTGCCGAGAATCACCAGGAGGTGAGAAGCACAGTGCCCACGTAGTCACCAGGGGCCGCCCACAAGAAGGAACACGGGGGCTTCAGGGCAGGTCAACATTGGCCAATACCCGTGACCCCAGCACACACAATACATTGCGGTTTTTTCTTTTAAACAGATTTACGAATTTTCATATTAAAAGGAACACTGGTGTTGCCGTGGGTTAAGCGTTAAGCTGCTAACCGAAAGGTCAGCAGTTCAAACCCACCAGCTACTCCTTGGGAGACAGATGAGGCAGCCTGTTTCCATAACGATTACAGTCTCAGAAACCCTAACAGCAGTACAACTGTGTCCTCCAGGGCACCCGAGTGAGTCAGAACCTTCTCAACGAGAGTGGGTCTGGTGGCTTATCTAACCTAAAACAAGCCCTTGGGGCAACACGGCTGAGGGGCTGGCTACTAGCCAAGAGACTGGCAGTTCAGACCCCACAGGAAAAGATCTGGCGCTCTGCCCCGAGCCCACCACAGCCCAGGAACCCTCTGGGGCAGGCTTTACAAGTCTTGACAAATGAGGGCTGCAGACAGCGCCTGCAATTCACCCTGGGGTGACGTCAAGGCGTCATGTGTCGGGCTGCTGACCCTGAGGCTGGAGGTTCAGATCCACTGCCCATCCTCGGACAGCCTCCGAGCGCCTGGGGAGCAGCTCTCCTCCGTCCTGGAGGGTGGCTGAGTATGAATGGAGCCCAGGCAGCGGGTGACAGGGGACAGCCGCCTGGGCTGTCCCCTTGAGGGCAGACACTGTTGGAGGGGGTGCCCTTCTGCTCCACACAATCCACGGTCCAAAACAGATCAGAGCTCAGAACCAGACCAGCTGCCCGGGGGCCCCACTGGGCTTTCCAAAGCCGACTTTCCATCAGTACATCACCAGGTCTTTCTTCTGAGGCTCCTCTGAGGGATTTGAGCCACCCCCTAAGACTCTACGCCAAGTTCAGAGCCCCAGAAACAGAGGTCCCAAGTCCCCTGATACAAAGACCCAGGGTCATGCTGAAGGACCCCCGAGCTGTCAGAGCAGACAGACGCAGCCCTGCTCTGGGTGCCTGAAGACAGCAGAGGTAGGTCCCGGGCCCCCTTCCAGGTCCTGATGGGTGCCCCTTAGGGCCCTCAGGGACAGAGACCCGGTGCGCACTCTGTGGGGACTCCAAGGCTGGCAGTTGCAACCCACCCAGCAGCCCTGGGAGGAAAATCAGCTTGCTCTTGTGCGGTCACCGGAGTCACCACCCGAGTTTCAGGGAAGTCGATGACACGGCCCTGGCATCTGCCCCTGAACAGACTAGTCTGCTGTGCTGTGAGGTGCCGTGGAGTCGGTTCCGACTCAGAGCGACCCTCTACAGGGTTTCAAGGCTGTAAATCTTGGCAGGAGAGCAGCCGGCGGGCTTGAACCGAAGGCCTTGGGCTCACAGTCCAGTGCTATGAAGCCACCGCGCTCCCACCTGGAAAGACTATTGTTGTGAGGTGCAGTCAAGTCGGTTTCTACTCAAAACCCGGGAAATACTAAAAAGCAGTTCCACTCCAACACGTGCCCTCACCTACGTCACACACCAACAGCAGCGGAAACGGCTCCTGAGCCTGCGATTGCTCAGGGACAACATGGACAGACGGACAGACAAGACAGGTGTCAGTGCAAGAATCCACACCAAGGCAAAGCAGATGGTAGACCTAGCTCTTCCTATGCCCACGGCTCCGCCTGTCCTGCAGAGCAGGGAAGCCATGCGGGCAAGGATGGCTCACCTGTGCTGCTCCCAGAGGTCGGCAGGGCCGTCCGAAGTCGGTCAAAGTCAGAGAACTCATCAGGCTCCGGGTCAAATCCCCCGACTGCAGAGGGCATACCAGAAAGTTCTAGCATATCCCCAGTGCCCCAGACACACACGCAGACACACACACACAAACACACACACACTCACAGAGATACGCATGCCCAGGCCTGCCCTGTTAATACCTGCAGGGGCCACTGGTATTGGGCTTGGTAGGGAACCACCCACCACCCCCAACCAGGGATTGGAGGCAGGGTCTCAGACACATACACAGACAGACACAGGTGTATACATAGGTGCACGCACATGTACACACAGGTACACACACAGGCCCAGGTCTCCTGGCCCAGGCTGTTCCGTCAGTACCTGTGGTGCCATTGGTGCTGGGCTTGGCAGGGGACCCTCCCCAGGGGTCTGAGAAGGCAGGGGCTGGTGCCCAGGGATCCGAGGTGGGGGGGCCACCACCTGGGGCCCCACCTGCTGAGGGAGGAGGCTCTGGGTGAGGGGCGAGCTGGCCCTCCAGCTGCACCATTCCTGCGCTGTGACGCAACGTGCTTCTCTCTGCTCAGACTGCAGCCTCCCCTTCTCCAGAAAGCACCCCCAGACCAGCAGCCTTCCCACACCAGAGAGCCCTCACCCCACCCCAGGCTCCCACCTGGGCTCCCTCCCGCCACTTCCTGCTAGCCCCAGGACCGAGCTGACCCTTAGGACCATTCCAGCACTTACCATCAGTGCTCCCCCAGGGGTCAGACCCAGCAGGCCCCTCACCAGCAGCAGGCTTGGAGGTCCCACCCCAGGGGTCAACCGTGGGTCCAGCTGGTGCCGCGGGCCGCCAGGGATCCCCAGAGGCTGGCGTCGGGGCAGGGCCCCCCCAGGGGTCAACAGCAGGAGGGACTGGGGGCCCCCCCCAAGGGTCCGAGGCAGGGGCAGTGGTGGGGGCAGCAGTGGCCAAGGGGGCTGGACCCCCCCAGGGATCTGAGGTGGGTGGAGGAGCTGGGGCTGTGAAGACATCAGCCAGATCCATGAGGGAGGACTGTGGGGAGAGAGGAGAGCATGGGCCACGTGCTGCCACGAGGCAGAGCCTTCCAGAAGCCCACCACCCTGTCCTAGGGAGCCCACCACAGCCCGTTCCTCAGCCCTTACCTCCTCCTGGCCCCCGGTCTCCCGTTTGCTCTCTTCAATGGCCATTTGCAGCCTCAGATCGTCCCCCCGACGAATCCGCTCTTCCTGTGTGGGGGTGGGGACAGAGACAAGGTACAAGGTCAGAGACAGTCACAGGGTTTGGGGCTGGGCGGGGGCTCCAGAGCCCCCATGCTGCCCCCAGAGCCCTCTCTCCCCTCCTCCCTGACAAAGGTGATCGGACATTAAAATGATATGTGGACAACATATGGAGTACGCAATGACTGTGGTCTAGGAACAGAGGTTGGGGGGGAAGAGGCAGGGAGGGGCTGGGCAGCACCGGGGGGCCTCACCCGGAGCAGCTCCCTACACCTGAGCCTGGCACACAGCCCCACCCACAGCTGGCATGGCTGTGGTCGAGCGTGTGCAGCGCTGTGGGGCTGGGGGTGCTGCGGTTCTCTTGGGGGGGGGCAGCTGCTGCTCTGACCTTGTCGTGCTCCTCCCGGCTCAAACTAAGGGCCAGCTGGAGCTGGACGTCATCCTCGGGACCGCAGGACGGGGGCTGGGGGAGAGACAGTGTGAGGAGGGCTGGGGGCCAGGAAGGGAGAGAAGAGAGACAGCGAGAGAGCGGGGCTGGGAGCCAGAGAGTGTGGGTCCCAGTCAGGGAGAGAGCACATGAGTCGGCCGGGGGCCAGCAAGAGAGACACAGAGTCCCTGAGAGACAGAGACAGAGAGAGAGACAGAGACAGAGAGACAGAGCCCCTGAGAAACATAGAGAGTCCCTGAGAGAGACAGAGAGAGAGAGAGAGAGATTGAGACAGAGTCAGAGAGGGAGAGAGGTGTGGGGACCCAGAAAACCAGGGGCCAGTGAGAGAGAGAAACCGGAAGAACCCCAGGTGGCAGAGGGGCCCCCGCCCTCGAGGAAGCCTGGAGAGAGAGAAAGCCGAAGCTGGTTGCCCAGTGGGCGGAGCCCCCAAGGGGCAGCACTGAGGGTGGGGCCAGAGGAGTGCAGGGGCGGAAGCCCAGGACCCAGATGATGAAGGCTGCTGTGGAGGGAGAGAGCAGGAGGGCTGTGGCCATGGAGATGGGATGAAGAAGCACAGTGGAGACCCCCGTGCCCCCCATGCCCACGCCCGCACCTGGTCGGCCTCCTCCTTGCTCATGGCCAAGGCCAGCTGCAGCTGAAGTTCCTCTTCCCCGCTGCTCTGTGGCCAGGCCTGCTCCGCCTCAGCTGGGGGCCCTGTACCCACCGCCGCCGAGGAGGCTGGGGTCGGGGGACAGGGAGAGCCCAGATCAGAGAAACACCCCCAAGACCAGACCCAGGGCTGTGAAACCCCCAGGGAAAACTGGATCAGGCTCCTGGGGACACAGCCCAGGGAGGACTGAGGGTGCCCCGCGCACAGGAGGGCTGGGACCCAGGGGATGGGGACACCTGGGGGCTCCATTTCAAGGTCCCTCGAGAGCCACAGAGACCTCAAGATGGAGGCAGAGTCAGCTGGCAGCGTCCACCAGACACTGAGGGCTGCACTCAAAGGAGCAGCAGAGAGATTAGTGTTTCTAAGTGACCCAGAGATCACCTTGGCCACCTGCTTCCAAAGGTCACAGTTGCCTGAGACACAGAGAGTCGTCAGGAGTCAGGAGCACCACCAAACACCACAGCAGCTATCCCCTGGTGTCCCTGGATGGTGCACATGAACACGCTCAGCTGCTAAACTAACAGCTGGAGGGCGGAGTCCACCCAGGGGCACCTCAGAATAAAGACTCGAGGGTACCTAACAGCCACTGACCCCCCAGAGCACAGCTTTCTACTTAGAGGCACACGTGGGAACCAGGAGTCAGAATGGACTCGAGGGTACCTAACAGCACAGAGACCCAGTAGGCTGCCTCCCACTAACTGTCCATCTTCCCGTCCCCACAGAGCCTGGGTGCAGCCCTACCACGGGGACGGACCACAGCGGTTCCCCAGGTCTACCTCCCACTAACTGTCCATCTTCCCATCCCCACAGAGCCTGGGTGCAGCCCTACCACGGGGACGGACCACAGCGGTTCCCCAGGTCTACCTCCCGCTAACTGTACATCTTCCCATCCCCACAGAGCCGGGTGCAGCCCTACCACGGGGATGGACCACAACGGTTCCCCAGGGCTACCTCCCACTAACTGTCCATCTTCCTGTGCCCACAGAGCCTGGGTGCAGCCCTACCACGGGGACGGACCACAACGGTTCCCCAAGGCTACCTCCTGCTGACTGTCCATCTTCCCGTCCCCACAGAGCCTGGGTGCAGCCCTACCACGGGGACGGACCACAGCGGTTCCCCAGGTCTACCTCCCGCTAACTGTCCATCTTCTCATCCCCACAGAGCCTGGGTGCAGCCCTACCACGGGGACGGACCACAGCGGTTCCCCAAGGCTACCTCCCACTAACTGTCCATCTTCCTGTGCCCACAGAGCCTGGGTGCAGCCCTACCACGGGGACAGACCACAGAGGTTCCCCAGGGCTACCTCCCGCTAACTGTCCATCTTCCCGTGCCCACAGAGCCTGGGTGCAGCCTTACCACGGGGACGGACCACAACGGTTCCCCAGGGCTACCTCCTGCTGACTGTCCATCTTCCCGTCCCCACAGAGCCGGGTGCAGCCCTACCACGGGGACGGACCACTGCGGTTCCCCAGGTCTACCTCTCTCGATCCTCTCCCTGTTTGTGACTTTGTTCTCAGGGCACCAGGTCAGCTCTGTGCAGACCCGATGGCCAGTCTCCAACTGGTCCCATAATGCATGGGAGGACGGGACAGGGAAGGTCAGGGTCCCGGGAGGAGAGGGGAGAAGAGGGGCTAGGGGTCCTGCAGGCAGGATGAAGATTGGGGGTGGGGGGGGGGGGGTGGGTTGTCAGAAGCCCACTCACCAGTGGCCGTCTGTGCCAACTTTTCCTTGGTCTTCAGGGCGTGAGCACGTTCTTCCCGCAGCCGGTCCTCATCACGAAGCAGAGCCACCAGCTGCTTGGCCTTCTCGCGCACGTTCACGCCCTGGTCCTTGCCATCGCGGTCCACATACTGGAAGTCCTTGAGCGTCTGCACGGCGTACATGTTCTCCTTACACTGCTGCGACACGCGCTCCGAGCCCGTCTTGATCAGGTACTCCATCAGCGTCATGGCCTACGTAGGGGCAGGCGGTCAGCAGGCAGCCACAGGGCACACAGGGAGTTCTGGTACCGCCCCGCCCCCCACCCCACCCCCGCCAATCCCTACGTCCACGAAGGCTCCATCAGCACGCAGCCTCCACACACAGGGTGGTGGGCTGGGAGCTCAGGTACCAACCCCCCATCCCTACGTCCACGAGCGCTCCATCAGCACGCAGCGCGCGCACACAGGGTCGGGACCAGGCTGAAACCCCAGCACCTCCACATGGCAACAGGAGGCAAACGCAAACCACAACGGGAAGTAAGTGCAGTGGCCTCCACGTCTGCAGTGGATAGTAGGTTGTTTTCTATTGCTAACAGCCCTTTAGTCCCCTTAACTGGAGTCCTGATGTGGCGCTGTGGGTTAATACACCAGACTGCAAAGCCGTTTGAACTGCAAGGTTGGTGGTTCAAGCTCACCAGCTGCTCCTCGGAAACCCTATACAGGGTCGCTATGGGTTGGAACTGACTCGATGGCACTTCACAACAACAACAACAAATGCCCTTTAAGGAGTTCTGGTGGTGCTGCAGGGTAAGCATTGGGCTGCTAACTACATGGTTAGAAGTTCAAACCCACCAGATGCTCCTACTACACTGTGTCGCTGTAAGTCAGAATGATCTCCATGGCAGTGGGTTTGGCTTTATCCCCATTATAAGGAACTCTGGTGGCACTGTGGATAAGCGCTCAGCTGCTAACTGGGAGATCAGTGGTTCGAACCCACCATCCGCATCGGGAAGAAAGCAGTGAGGGTCTGCGTCTGTAACGACGGCACCCTGGGGACACAGTGTGGTGATTCTCTCCTGCCCGCAGGGGCGCTGAGAAGAGGGATGGGCATGCCTCCGTTTTCCTGGTAGTGTTCCACTGGGTGCCATGTGCCAACTGTGTCGGTCCAAACATCTCCTGACAGGCACCCCAGGGCTACCAGGCACTGATGTGTGAGGCTCCGTTTCAGTCCTCACTGTGAGTCCTTTGCATGGTCAGGTCATCAGTTCTGGGAATGAAGCAATCCACCGAAAGGCTGACGGTTCCGGTCCAAGCAGTGGAACCGCAGAAGAAAGGTCTGGAAACTACTTCCAAAACACATGACACATGCAGTCCCCAGGAGCTGGAATCCACTTGGTAACTGGTTTGAGGTTTCTTTGGGCTTTTTTATGGCAATTCTACTATGGCAGAGTTGGAGCAGAGCTTTTGGAATCTTCATTTGCTGATGGGACACAACTCAACATGAGAAGAAACATCCATTAATAATCAGAACATGGAGTGTACAAAGTCTGTTATGTGCCTGCGAGTCAGTTCCCACTCATAACAATCTGTAGAGGGTTTCCGAGGAGCAGCGGTGGGTTTGAAGTGCAGACCTTGCAGTTCAAAGTAACTTTAAGGTCCAGTGTTTATCCCCTACAGCACCACACCAGGAAAATCAGTATTGGTCAAAAATGAAGTAGAGCACATAAAAGGGGCCATCCTAAACACTGAATGGAATAAGCCTACGGTTTACTATGCCGAGAATGACAAATTGAAGAACAGCTTTGCATTCGTTTTCAAACAGAGCTTTTCAAATCTATCTGGAAAGACTCTGTTGTCTGTGATAGCTACTATCTATCTACATATACCCTTAGAGTGGAGTCCTGGGGTGGCGCTGTGGAATAAGGCTCCAGGCTGCAAAGCCATCTGAACTGCAAGGTTGGTGGTTCAAGCCCACCACCTGCTCCTCGGAAACCCTATACAAGCTCACGATGGGTCAGAACCGACTCGACGGCACTTAACAACAACCCTTATAAGGGAGACCAGTTAATACAACAATTAGTCAAATTCACAAACCAACCACCAAAGCCAGTAATGAAAACACTGAACAATCCCCCAACCTCTTTAGTCTGAGACTGATCAAACACATACTCAAGAAACATTGATCATTATCAGCGATTGGAATGTCAAAGTTGGAAACAGAGTGGAGAGATCATAGTTGGAAAACATGGCCTTGGTGACAGAAATGAAAGGCGATCTCATGGTGTAGTTTTTCAGGACCAAAGATGTATTCAATGCAAACACCTTTTGCCACCTACACCACAAGTCTACATGTGAAACTTGCTGAAAACAACACTGACTACGCCTATGGGAGAGATGCTGGAGAGGGCCCCCAGCACCAGCCAGAACCAGGCCAGGGGCAGACTACGGAACAAAGCATCAACTGCTCCTATGTAAGCAGAGGCTACAGCCAAATAAACTGAAAATAAATCCATGATAGCCAAAGTAGGGCCCTGAGTATATCCCATGTGAATTTACAAACCATCTCAAGAGCAGAGCTGATGCATTAGACACTAATGACCAAAGACCAGATGAGTTGTGGGACAGCATCAAGAATATCATACGGGAAGAAAGCAAAAGGTCAATCAAAAGATAGGAAAGAAAGAAAAGACCAAAATGGATGTCAACGTCACATCATAACTGCTGAGCTGATATATGTTCTGCTGTGTAGATTCTCAACAACAACAAAATAAATACAAATACTTAAAAACAACACAAAAAACTCTGCCTTGAGCATTAAACTCTCTGAAGAAAACCTGTATGTGAGGGATCAAACTCAGAACAGCAACTGGATAAGGTCCTACAGGGGGGCGAAGGGGGGAGCTGGTGCTCATGTTGTTGTTGTTATTGTTGTTGTGAAATGCCTTGGAGTCAGTTCCGACTCATAGGACCCAGCCTAGGGTTTCCGAGGAGCAGCTGGTGGGTTTGAACTGTCAACCATGTGGTTCACAGTCCCGTGCTGATCCGCCAGTGCCACACCAGGAGTCCTGGTGCTCCCGGGGGAGGAACAGCTCCGAAAGGAGGGTGAGAAGGCTGCAGGATTTGAGGAATACCATCAGCACCAGCGAACTGCCCAGGTATAAACAGGTGGCTTGGTGACTGTACTGCTGCGTGGATTATCAACAGCAAAATTAAAATCTTAAAAGCACACCAAGACGATTACACTGAAAAGAGAAACAAGTTTCTGCAAGTGGGGGGTCTGATAAGGTGGCTCACAGCACTATGACCCACTGGGACAGACACTAGGTGGGTGAAGGGTGAGTTCTCACTAGACAAAAACACCAGGAGAGGAGACAGCAGCGGTGCTCCCCCCGGCAAGCGGCCACAGAGCCTGCTGCTTCCTCACAATGGAATTCCCAAGTCAGGCACCATACACCAAGACAAATGGACAACAGGAGGAACGACAGACACTGCGAAATCACGCTCTGAGGTACAAAGGTTCAGGACCCTGCTTCCCACTCAGCTGGGGGAATCTGAAACGTCTTTCCTGCGGAAGAAAATCACTCTGATGTGGACCGATTTCAACAAAGCCGAGGGACAAGTGAGCCCAGGTAGAAAGTGGGAACTGTGTTAGGTGGATGACAGCTTTTTCCCAATTGGTATTCTTTGTCATCTTGCGCATTTTTGAACATGAGAATGTATTCCCTTTCCAAAAAGTTAATAAAATGCCCACTCTTGAGCCAAGTGGCATCTGAGGCGGTCCTCGACTGGGCTCCATGGCTCTGTGAGGCCGAGAGGGGTCAGGCCCCTCTGGAGAGGGCTGAAGTTCACGGTAGCAGTGCTGGGCAGGTGGGAGGAAGGCTGGATGGCTCCAGGGGAGGCACCCAGGTCTAGAGAAGAGGAATCTCCAAGTAGGGAGGAGTCTGCCATCTCAGGCTCTGCTCTCGGCCCCACAAAGTTTCCGGAAGCACTGCTGAGGGTCACAACAACTCCCCAACCTTTGGAGGTAGCCAATCTCCCTCATGCGGCAGGGCTGGGTGTGCTTCTATCTCAGTTCCCAGTTAGTCTTTAACTTGACCCGGAGTGCTGACCGATTAGAGGAAGGAGAACAGTCAAGTCACTCATGCGGGTCACACCCGGGAGAGGAAGTGGAGGCCTTGGGCCTACCCCAGACTCAGGGCTCTGCTGAGCTGTGCAATTCAGACATCTTCAAGTTCAAGATCCTGTTGTGAACTGAACTGTGTCTCCACCAGCAAAAAAAAAAAATTGCTGTTAAGGACTTTGTAGTTTACCGTTTCCCAGCCTGTGAATCTTTGAGGGAGCAAGAGCCTCATCTTTCTGCCATGGAACAGCTGGTGGATTTGAACAAATGACCTTGTGGTTAGCAGGCCAGTGCTGATCCTACAGCGCCACACCAGGAGTCCTATGGCTACAACTGTTGTTATGTGCCATCAAGTCGGTTCTGAGTCATAGCAACCCTGTATAGAGTTTCCTGGGAGCGGCCGGTTAAGCTTTAACCACTGACCTTATGGTTCAAACCGACTTTGCAGTCCAACACATTAACCCACAGCGTCACACCAGGACTCCAAGTCCCCCCAAAAATAAACCTGGAGTTTTTATATTGGAAGAATAAAGGCCAAAATAAGCTAGAAAATACT